CTGTAGTATTTGGGTCCCCTACCACAATTACTCTCTTACTTGGTTCAAAGGTTCCTATATGTTTGCTTAATATCTCCCAAAATCTCTCTCTCTCCTCTACACTCCTCTCTTCTCTAGGTGCATACATGCTTATTATGACCCACTTTTAGCATCCGACCCTTATTTTAATCCACATATCCTTGAATTTAAACGTTTATATTCCCTCTTCTCCTTCCATAACTGATCCCCTTCCTTAGCTCTAACTCTCTCAGATACTTGTGACTTAATCCCATTTGTTTCTACCCCCTTCAGCTCTGTTTTGCTTAGGGCCAGGACATCCAACTTTTTTTCTTTCATAACATTAGCAATCATCTCTTTCTTATTATCCACAATACATTCATCCACATTCAAGCATCCCAGTTATATGAAGTTTTTCTTCTTCTCCTTTTAGTAAATGTATATAGGAGAAGGGTTTGTTAGTCCATTGCTCCTGGCATTTAAGCTGCCTCATACGACACACATGGCTTACGGAGGAAAGATTCTTTTCCACTTCCCCATGGACAATAGAGGAAATAAAGAAGAACAAGAGCTATTAAGAAAAAGAAGAAAAAGCCTTGGTGTGTGTATGTATATACAGTGGAACCTCAGCTCACGAATTTAATCCGTTCCATGACCCTGTTCATATCCCGATTTGTTCGTATGCCGAGTCAATTTTCCTCGTTTAAATTAATTGAAATGGCATTAATCCGTTCCAGTGGAATTCCTGCTCTTAGGAGGCACAACAAAATATTTCAATAAGATGCTAATATCAACTCTACGGCTCATTTATACAGTGGACCCCCGGTATTTGATGCATTTTAACTCAAAAATTTTGCCTCGGTATCCGATTGAAAACCCGGTATTTGATACGATTCGTACGAGACGTGTCCACGTGTGGCCTGAACTGCCCCGTGTGTGCCAGTGTTTACAAGCCAGCCAGTGTGCACGCATCTAAGGATACATTCCATATTATCCATATTATCAATGTTTTTGGTGCTTGTTTCTGCAAAGTAAGTCACCATGGGCCCCAAGAAAGCTTCTAGTGCCAACCCTGTGGTTAAAAGGGTGAGAATTAGTATGGAAATTAAGAAAAATTTTGAAGAGTTTGGGGCTAACCCTGAGAAGCCTATGCCAGTTGTGGAATCCATTGTGCCTATTTCAAAAATTAAGGAAATGTGTGCACAGTGGGTTGAAGTGCAAACCTTTATGGATGAAAATCACCCTAACACAGCTATTGCAAGCCGTGCTGGTGACTATTACAATGACAATGTTGTGGCCCATTTTAGACAAATCGTAAAGGAACGGGAGGTACAGAGCTCTATGAACAGATTTGTTGTGCGACAGAGGTCCAGTGACTCTCAAGCTGGTCCTAGTGGCATTAAAAGAAGAAGGGAAGTAACCCCAGAAAAGGACTTGCTACCTCAAGTCCTAATGGAAGGGGATTCCCCTTCTAAACACTAACACAATCCACACTCTCCCCTCCTCCCATCCCATCAATCATCACCAGATCTTCAATAAAGGTAAGTGTCATGTTACTGTGCATGTCTTCTTCAGTTTGTGTGTATTAAAATTAATATTTCATGTGGTAAAAAATTTTTTTTTCATACTTTTGGGTGTCTTGCACAGATTAATTTGATTTCCATTATTTCTTATGGGGAAAATTGATTCGCTTTTCGATATTTTCGGTATTCGATGAGCTCTCAGGAACGGATTAATATCGAATACGGGGGGTCCACTGTATATCACAATTCATCTAATTTCACCATCACTCAAGGAATGCACAACAGGTGCATCATTGTCAGTGTTCAGCATTTCTTTGATGTCAGCTTCCTGTAACTCCATTAGCACACAGTCAAGATGAGTAAATAGAATTGTCAACGCTTATTACTTGGGTATGTTTATTCTGTTCAAGGTAGTAGGTTGGTAGACAGCAACCGCCCAGGGAGGTACTACCGTCCTGCCAAGTGAGTGTAAAACGAAAGCCTGTAATTGTTTTACATGATGGTAGGATTGCTGGTGTCCTTTTTTCTGTCTCATGAACATGCAAGATTTCAGGTACGTCTTGCTACTTCTACTTACACTTAGGTCACACTACACATACATGTACAAGCACATATATACACACCCCTCTGGGTTTTCTTCTATTTTCTTTCTAGTTCTTATTCTTGTTTATTTCCTCTTATCTCCATGGGGAAGTGGAACAGAATTCTTCCTCCGTAAGCCATGCGTGTTGTAAGAGGCAACTAAAATGCCGGGAGCAAGGGGCTAGTAACCTCTTCTCCTGTATATATTACTAAATGTAAAAGGAGAAACTTTCGTTTTTCCTTTTGGGCCACCCCGCCTCGGTGGGATACGGCCGGTGTGTTGAAAGAAAGAAAAGAAGTTTATTCTGTCAGTGGATTGGATCTGTGAAGGACCTGCCTAGTATGGGCCAAGAGGCTTGCTGCAGTGTTCCTCTGTTCTTATGTTGATCAGTGGAACACTCTGCCTAGTATGGTTATTGAGGTTAAAACCTTGGGTAGTTTCAAATTTGTGTTGGATAAATATGTGAGTGAGAGGGATTGGATGTGAGTGGGACCTGCACATGAGTAAATACCATTATCAAAGCTTAATGCTTAGGCAGCATTGAAAATTGAGTTGGGCAAATATTGTTAATGGGATGGATTGTAAAGGACCTGCCTAATATGGGCCAACAGGCCTGTTGCAATATATTATTATTAGTTTACCGAAAACCTATGCACAGTGGCATGTACATTCATTACTTTTCCTATCATGCTTCCCCTGTCAAGAAAAGTGTTCTTATCTCCCTCTTTCTCCGTGCCCTCCGCATCTGTGATCTTCAGTTCCATCCAGCAGAAATTTCCACTCTTCATAATTCGTTTTCCCGTCTTGGCTACCCTTCCCATTTCATAGACTCAGCCCTCTCACGTGCTAAATGTAATTTCTTCTCTCCCAAACTCTCTACTCATGGGAACTCTTCTATCCTCTGCCTTCCCTACATTTCTGGTCTTTTTATTCTCAACAATTCTCTCGTCCCTTAGACATCAAGCATACCTTCGCCAGGACTAACATCTTCGCACTAATCTCGTTCATACCCCTCTCTCCACGACAGATGTTCCTGTGTCTACTCTATTTCTTGCCTCCTCTTGTCCTCTCAATACTTCGGAGAAACTGGGCGATCTCTTTGACAGATTAAGAGCACAAAAATAGTGTTAGGCTTGCTGACACTAACAATGCTTTTTCTGTCCCGTCAGAGATCATAGCCATCCTATTGATGGTCTTCTGCTAAAATGTCTTCCCTAAATTCCAACTCGAACAGTCCGCCGTCTAGTTGAATCCTCTCTAATACACAACTTTCCTTGTATGAATCTTTGCCCTGGCTTCGTCTCTGTAGATGCCTCCTTCCCCACTACTTGTAAAATGCTCCCAACTTCAGAAAACACCCGTAACTAAAAACTGGACTCCTATTTTTCTTTATCTTATTCATTCTTCTCCTCTTCCCCTTTCCTCTTTCCTTTTTCTCCTCTGGGTTGTCTTTCTCTCTTCTGTCTTGTGTTTCTGCTCCTTTTTCATTTATTTCACCACTTCCCCTTTCACGCACCTCTGTGCGCTTGCTCTCCCTCTGGGCACTAGCTCTCTTCCAGTTCTCCCCTTCCTTTGTATTTGACTGGCTCGTCCTCCTTATCCCCCACTTCTACCACTACTACTACTACTGATGAAATTAAGACACATGTGCAGCGTCTGGGTGTCTTTGTTGTGGACGTTTCGCCATCCAGTGGCTGGATGGCGAAACATCTACGATAAGGATGCCCGGGTGTTGCGCATGTGTCTTAATTTTATAATTTCATCTTGTCGGTATTATATACCATTCTTGTACTACTACTACTACTACCACCACCACCTCTTCCTGCCTATATATAGCCGTCCTGCTCCACTTCTGGTTAGTGTGACTTTGTAAATGGTCCAAGTCGGACTGAAACGTCGTCGTAAGCTTCTCTCTTTTATGTGCGGGTTATTTGTGTATCGTTCCAGTCACGGTATTGTGCCTTTTTTGTTATTATTATTAGTACGTAAGTAAAATAATCATAATAATTATTATTTTTTTTTCAACAGACCGGCCGTATCCCACCAAGGCAGGGTGGGTCAAAAAGAAAAACAAAAGTTTCTCTTTTCAAATTTAGTAATTTATACAGGAGTAGGGGTTACTAGCCCCTTGCTCCCAGCATTTTAGTCGCCTCTTACAACACGCATGGCTTATGGAGGAAGAATTCTGTTCCATTTCCCCATGGTGATAAGAGGAAATAAACAAGAACAAGAACTAGAAAGAAAATAGAAGAAAACCCAGAGGGGTGTGTATATATATGCTTGTACATGTATGTGTAGTGTGACCTAAGTGTAAGTAGAAGTAGCAAGACATACCTGAAATCTTGCATGTTTATGAGACAGACAAAAGACACCAGCAATCCTACCATCATGTAAAACAATTACAGGCTTTCGTTTTACACTCACCTGGCAGGACGGTAGTATCTCCCTGGGCGATTGCTGTCTACCAACCCACTACCTAGGATTATTATTATTATTATTATTAATTTAGGGAAGTGGAGCACAGATCCAATTCCCTTGATCAAGAGCCCCTCACCAAGGAATCTCCCTTGAGGGGAAAGTTCGCATCCTGAAATATCGTTCGTATCCAGAAGCAAAAAATCGATCGAGTGACTGTTCGTATCCTGAAAAATTCTCATGGTGGGGCATTTGTAAGCCGAGGTTCCACTGTATATGCATGTACATGCCTGTGCAGTGTGACCTAAGTGTAAGTAGAAGTAGCAAGATATACCCGTTATCCAGTGTGTTTATGAGTCAGAAAAAAGACATCAGCAATCCTACCATTACGTAAAACAGTTACAGGTTTCCATTTCAGTCACCTGGCAGGACGGTAGTACCTCCCTGGGTGGTTGCTGTCTACCAACCTACTGAAAACTTACCAAATGATTTTTAAAGAATCTGAAGATGACAGTGGTGTGGATTCCAGCCAATGAACGAGTCTTGCAAATTTCTTAGATTTTTTCTGGTCCTTAAATGTGCAGGAATCACTAAAAAGCCACCTGGAAAGCAAAAATTATTAGATTTTTTCCATCCTATTGCTATTCTCATGATACAGGGTTATATATTTTGGTACTGCATACTGCATTATAAGAACAGTATAAATTTTTTTTCAACAAACCGGCCATATCCCACCGAGGCAGGGTGACCCAAAAATAGAAGAAACACTTTCACTATCACTCACTCCATCACTGTCTTGCCAGAGGAGCACCGATACTACAGTTCAAAGCTGCACTCTGAAGGAGGGGTGAAGATATGTTGCAATTTTGAAACTATAGTATCTGCATGCCTCTGGCAAGACAGTAATGGAGCGAGTGATAATGAAAGTGTTTCTTCTTTTTCGGGTCACCCTGTCTCGGTGGGAAACAGCCAATGTGTTTAATAATAATAATAATAATAATAATAATAATAATAATAATAATAATAATTATAATAATGATTATGATTGTGTGAGTGAGGTGAAAGTGTTGAATGATGATGAAAGTATTTTCTTTTTGGGGATTTTCTTTCTTTTTGGGTCATCCTGCCTCGGTGGGAGATGGCCAACTTGTTGAAAAAAAAAAAAAAAAAAAATAATAATAATAATAATAATAATTATAATAATGATTATGATTGTGTGAGTGAGGTGAAAGTGTTGAATGATGATGAAAGTATTTTCTTTTTGGGGATTTTCTTTCTTTTTGGGTCATCCTGCCTCGGTGGGAGATGGCCGACTTGTTGAAAAAAAAAAAAAATAATAATAATAATAATAATAATAATAAAACTGAAGCCATCACCACCTGTTTAAAAAAGAAACAGTAATCAATAAAAAAGAGTAAGAACCATTGTCAATAAACACCTCCAAGAGCAAAAGTCAGAAGGATGAACATGGAAAGACAGTGCAATAATTTAGAGTAGAGAGGGAAAAGGAATGAGAGCTTGGAAAAACAGAATTAATTAAAATACCAATGTGCAGATGGAAAAAAAAGGAGACTTCAATCAGGTGGAACTGAGCTGTGAGTATAGCCTAAGAAAATGATAGCCTCTAGGGAAAGGAACATTCTTATATTAGTTGGAAATAGTGAACCTTTAAGGGTCCAACAGTGCCTGGGAAATAGGAAGGATGGGGTTTGATCTGAGGAAGGTGTGAGTGGCTCCAATTCCTTAGATGGAGAGCCCTTCACCAGCATTAAGGTACTCCCTATGGAGGACGGGTTGCTGCTACAGCAACAGCAGTTGGAGGCTTGGGAAGTGACTATGGGAGGAGCAGCAGAATGCTGAAAGCAAGAGGTGCAGGATCAGAGGAAATATAAAAAAATAGTCAAAACAGTAGTACAAGCTGTTATCTAAAAAATGGTTTTAATTGAAGAAAATATTAATTCTATACAAACCTTATATAGCCTGAAATATAAGGAGACAGGAAGGATGCAACACTCTTTGTCTTGGCGAGCCCTTCAATTTGTTCAATAATGAAGGTTTTTTCTTCAAGGGCCTTTATTATATCATTGCTGAAAACCTCTATCTTCTGATGGTGTGTTAAAGCTAACAAGCAGAGAACGCACTGCTCCCTTAACGATTCAGGTGGATCATTTTGCTGTGGAAAGAAAATCACAAGGCTTAGCAGCTATTGAAAATTTTACAATGTAATTTTGTTTTACTGATACAAAATGAAATAACCCACATGGAGACAAAAAACAAGCCAATGATGATTCTTTTTAAGTCACCTATACTCTCTAGGCTGGAATACTGCTGTACACTGACAGCCCCATTCAAGGTAGGTGCAATTGCAGATCTAGAGAATATACAGAAAACCTTCACTGCATGTATTAGCTCAGTCAAGTACCTTAATTACTGGGAACACTTGACCTGTACTCCCTGGAATGCAGGTGAGAAAGATGCATCATAATTTATACTTGTAAAATCCTAGAGGGTCTTGTCCCAAATCTGCTCACATAAATCACCTTCCTATGAAAGAAAAAGACTAAGCAGACTGTGCAACATACCCCCAAAGAAAAGTAGGAGTGCCATGAGTACTCTAAGAGAAAACATTGTTCAACAGCCTCCCATCATACATAAGGGGCATTACTAATAGACCCCAGGTTGTCTTCAAGAGGGAACTGGGCAGGTACCTAATGTCAGTGCTTGATCAGCTGGGCTATGGTATGTACATTGGATTGCACATGGCCATATATGTTCGGTGGAAAATTTTCAGCTAAATCAATCTCTAACAACACTGATTCATGAACTATAAATGATGTGTTGTGAAAACTATAGGTGGAGTACATTTTTATTTTATTTTTACAACTCTGTAATTTCCTATCAATAAGGCATTTAGTCAAGCTATGCAAACTGCTACTATACATAGACAGGGCCAACAAGGATAGACTCAATATTGGGAATGCAACAAGAATAAGGTGGTACAGTTACAAATTACACCCAAATGAACCTCAAAAATATCAAGAAACATTCCTTAAACATAAGACTGGTAAAGAAGTGGAATGAACTAAGCAATGACACAACAGAAGCAAATTCCAAAAAGAGTTAAAAAAAAAAGTTTAAGTTGACAATTCAGATATTGGACTAAGAGTTAGAGCTCAACTGTCCTCACTAAAGAGATCATCATGGTTTTATTTCATGTGACTATTGTGTATAGGCCGCTATGTTAATTTTTTCTGAATTACACTGGTCAATACCCATTAAGATAGGGTGACCCAAAGATAGAAACAGTCACCATCACTTATTCAATGGTTGTGCAGCCTGTAGTGTTTGGACATTACAATTAAAATGACTCACCTGAATGATTTTCTTTAAAATGTTGTTGATGAAATCTTGAGAGAGCTTTGTCTTGACCGACAACTTAGCAATTATTAAGTAAGTTCCTGCCACCATTTCACCTTGTGAGGCCAAGCATTTTGGCATTAATGTTGCAATGCAAGACAAGTGCTCTTCCTTCACCTGTGAACAGTAATTTCCAAAACATATTAATCATTAAGTTTTTTTTTTTAACAAGTCGGCTGTCTCCCACCGTGGCAAGGTGATCCAAAAAGAAAAAAAATCCCCAAAAAGAAAATACTTTCATCATCATTCAACTCTTTCACTTCACTCACACATAATCACTGTTTTTGCAGAGGTGCTCAGAACACAACAGCTTAGAAGCATATACGTATAAAGATATACAACATATCCCTCCAAACTGCTAATATCCCAAACCCCTCCTTTAGAGTGCAGACATTGTACTTCCCATTTCCAAGACTCAAGTCCGGCTATATAAAAATAACCGGTTTCCCTGAATCCCTTCACTAAATATTACCCTGCTCACACTCCAACAGATCGTCAGGTCCCAAATACCATTCGTCTCCATTCACTCCTATTTAACACGCTCATGCACGCCTGCTGGAAGTCCAAGCCCCTCGCCCATAAAACCTCCCTTACCCCTTCCTTCCAACCTTTTCGAGGACGACCCCTACCCCGCCTTCCTTTCCCTACAGATTTAAATGCTCTCCATGTCATTCTACTTTGATCCATTCTCTCTAAATGACCAAACCACCTCAACAACCCCTCTTCAGCCCTCTGACTAATACCATTAAGTATTAACATTTAAAATCTTTGTTTCCTGTTACACAGCATGGTAACCTAAACATGGATATACAGTACTATATGGGAACCAGCATCATTCCACATTTATCAGTTAATTATGAGCAATATTACCTTAATATTGATTTTTATTTAGCAAGATAAATTTAGCGATACTTCTATCTAATGATGATCATGAAAAATAATAGCTTAAAGATTATCAACTACAGGAGGGCCCATTTTATACAGCAGATTAGTTTCCGGGTTACAGCTGTAAAGTGAATCATACCTTTTTTCCCACTTTCAAATGCATATAAAAGCCCATCATAAAGCAGTAGAGCTAGGCCTAAAAAAAAGCACATACAGTACACACATTATTTTTTTATATATACTATATATTTTTTAACATATCAGCCATTTCCCACCGAGGCAGGGTGACCCAAAATGAAAGAAAAGCACAAAAATATTTTCATCCTTATCTTATAGTGAGTGGTGAATATATTTATTGTAGGAAGTCTGAATAAATGAAGAATGGGTATAATTGAAAACCACTGCATTAACAAAATGCTGTAGAGCAGAGTCTGCTTGTACATTCTCTTCCTGTATATCTTCCCTACAGGCTTCTTTTCAGCAGAAAAGACAGAATTCAGACAAATTAAGGGATAATATAAATTAGTATTATAATCCTGGAGAAGTTCTAAGCTCAAATGGGGAATAGGAGGTAAACAGATTTGAAATGAGGAATGGGAGTAGCTCCAATTCTTTGGATCAACAGCCCTTCACTAGCATCATGGCAACCCTCCTTGAGTGAGGGGTTCATAAGAAATACTGTTTGATGCTAGGGGTTTCAATACACAGGATAATCCTCAGAGATATGCATAACAATGAGAGGTACCCCACAGATGATGCCTTTGAATCAGGCGAGTATGCTGATCCATAGCTGGTCATGATGGCTTGTTTTGGGAGTGAGAAGAAAATTAACATGTTCAATGCCCAACATTTAAAAAAACTAAGGAAACAAAAAGAAATATTTTATTCTAAATCTGCACATGCACTGGCCACAATGTCAAAATGGCCAGAGGATCAGGAAAAAAAAAAAAAAGACAAGATTTACATTAAACAGAGATTGATTCTGTGGAGCATAGGAGTAAGGAATTCAATGAGTTTAATTATATGGCACTAAGAGTGTGTACAGATTTTACAGTTTGGAGGGGTGTCTAAACTGTCATATACAAGCACCTCTGCAAACAGTGATTATGTATCAGTGATGGTGAAAGTGTTGAATGATAATAAAAGATTTTTTTTTTCTTTTTGGGTCACCCTGCCTGCCCAGGTGGGAAATGGCCATGTTAAAAAAAAAAATGTCAATCACAGCTGAGAAGATTAGGGATGACACAATATGTTGAAGTGCTTTTAAGATGGTGAGGAGCTTTGCCATAAACACTGATGCCTCAAATAAGAGGAAGCTTGATGAGTTAAAGATGGGAAAATTGGTGGAAGTAATCAGGAACATGTTTAACAGAGTTATGAACTCAAGAAATGGCAGCAGCTGATTGAAATAATGGTTTATGGTAGAGAACTGGAAAAAAAAAAAATAGTAGAACACTCAAAGGCAGGCATCACAGGAGAGAGCTCCACACCAGAGTAGGTACAGTATCTGAAAATGAAGGTGCTGTTGCACATCTCATATTCTTGGTGAAGAGGTAAAGAGGCTCAAACACAGCACTCTATTGGTCATGAATATAAATTTGCCTCTGCTACTTATCCAAAATAAAGTCAAAAGAGGATCACATATACATACACCTACCTCCGGAAGTAGGCACAGTCCCCCAACTACAGTCGATACATAGAAAGAAATAGCAATCTTTAAGTTGCTTTCATTCTTGTGCACCTGCAAGAAAAAATGCAAATTCAATTTCAGACTTTCACAGTAGGCATTATTAACCCCTTGACTGTCGCAACCCCCAATCCTGAGGTGTCTCCTGGTGTCGCAAAATTTAAAAAAAAAAATTATTTTTTCTTATGAAATGATGGAGAATCTTTTCCCGATTGTAATGACACCAAAAAACGAAATTTGATGGAAAACTGATAGAATTACGCTCTCACGAATTATGCAATATTTACGAATCGGCTATTTCGCCCACTTTGAGCCCTATTTTCGGCTAATTCCATTGTTCTAATCGACCAAACTCATAGCTATTTCTTTAGAACTCTGTTTTTTCTATCGATTGAGTACAAGAAACTGCCCATTTACCAATTTCAACTACCCAATAACGTGGTCAGAAATTTGCAATTTGGTCAATTTCATGAAAATTAAAAAATATGACAATTTCAAAATAAGGTCCAGAATGAACAATGCAGACATTCCTGGCTCTAAAATAACATTTTCTTTGTTCATCAGTCATGTCTCCAGGCCCCTCTGATATTACTCTTGCTTTCTATTTTGAATTTTTATTCAAACAAAAAACAGAAGATTTACTATTATGCAGACTACTCCAATACTGTAATAATTGTATAAATAACATCAACCCATTCATGACTGCATATTAGAATGGCTAGTTGGACATTTATTGTACAATGATGTCATTTGTTTATTTTTGAACATCGGCAAAAATCAAACATTTCCCCAACTTTGAGCTCCATTTCTAGGTTCTTTTTATAGTAAAATCAATCAAAATCATCTCTTTTTCTATAATATGTTTTCCATTCTATCAAATGAGACCAAGAAAACGAGAATACAACCATAAATACTATACGAAAATAGACCACAAAGTCGGCATTTTAATTAAAAAAAAAAACGACGGTCGGAGTTTTTTTTCTCATTATGCACTGCGTGCTCCAGGATTTTTTTTATGTGGTGCACACTGACCACACAGACCCATTCTCTCACATGTGGGCCTACCAGCTTTCTCCTTCTTGATTTGAAGCCGCTAGAATTTATGAGAATATATACGTCAAACACAGTACCTCGTAAGACGTATATATACGGCCGCGACAGTCAAAGGGTTAAATACTACCTAGAAAAAACAGTAAAAAAAAAAAAAAAGAACATAAGAATGTAGGAACACTGCGGCAGGTCTACTGGCACATAGGAGGAAGGCCCTTACCAAAACCACTAATATATTTACTAAATATATTATGACTCTGTAATACAGTAAACCCTCTCATAATACTGCAGATATGTTCCTGAGAATCATCTTATCTAAAAGCATTATGTAAAGCAAAGAACATATGGTAACACAGGGTTAAATTCCCGAGACTACCAAAAATGCTTAATGACTATTTTAATTTTTTTGGTGTGTCGGCTGTTTCCCACCTAGGCAGGGTGGCCCAAAAAGAAAGAAAAAAAAACTTTTATCATCATTCAACACTTTCACCATCACTCATACATAATCACTGTCTTTGCAGAGGCACTCGTCTATGACAGTTAAGATGGCCCTCTCCAAACCGCCAGTATCTCAACCTCTCTTTTAAAGTGCAGGCATTGTACTTTCCCTCTCCAGTACTCAAGTCCAGCTAACTGGTTTCCCTGAATCCCTTCACAAAAAATTATCCTGCTCACAGTCCAACAGCTTGTCAGGTCCCAAAAACCATTCACCTCCATTCACTTCTATCTAACACACTCATGCATGGTTGATGGAAGTCCAAGCCCCTCACCCACAGAACCTCCTTTACCCCTCCCTCCATACTTTTCGAGGACGACCCCTACCCTGCCTTCCTTCCTCTACAGATTTATATGCTCTCCAAGTCATTCTACTTTGTTCCATTTTCTCTAAATGACCAAACCACCTCAACAACCCCTCTTCAGCCCTCTGACTAATACTTTTTGTAACTTCACACCTCCTCCTAATTTCCACACTGCGAATTCTCTGCTTAATACTTACACCCCACATTGCCCTTAGACATGACATCCCCACTACCTCCAGCCTCCTCCTTGCCGCAGCATTTACAACCCATGCTTCACACCCATATAAGAGTGTTGGTAGCACTATACTCTCGCACATTCCCATCTTTGCCTCCATGGATATCGTTTTTTTTTTTGTCTCCACAGGTACCTCAATGCACCACTCACCTTTTTTCCTCCATCAATTCTATGGTTAACCTCATCCTTTATAAACCCATCTGCTGACAAGTCAACTCCCAAATATCTAAACACATTCACTTCTTCCAAACTCCCTCCCTCCAATGTGATATCCAGTTTTTCTTTATCTAAATCTTTTGATACCCTCATCAACTTACTCTTATCTATGTTCACTTTCAACTTCATACCTTTACATACCCTCCCAAACTCATTCACTAACCTTTGCAACTTTTCTTTAGAATCTCTCAAAAGCACAGTATCATCAGCAAAAAGTAACTGTCAACTCCCATTTTGAATCTGATAAAGTTACTGAAAAAATAATGATTAAATAATGTCAGAGACAGCATCAGCTGAGGGTCTGTCAAAATTTCAACATCTGTAAAAATAAAAGCAGCATTTCCTTAGCAAACTGTAACCAACATATAGGAGCATCCCATACCTATATTAAAATAGTATAGTGTACTAAAGATGCATTTGAGAAAGCAATAACCAAGAAAAATACATTAGTGTAGTAATGAAATGTGGGAGGTAGTGGTTACTGCTTTTTAAGGGCTACACTGGCTTGTGCCATGCAAGCCATGGTCCCACTGGTGTGGTAAGTTGTAGCTGGGAGGTATACATAGGTGCCAACTATGGGTCAATATAGCATAATACATCTTAAGCTGTGATGACCCAATAAACCCCCAACACAAATAACTGACATGGCTAATCTTCAGTGATCCTACCCACTACACAATTCTCAATTCTCAATTCTCACTGTACTTCCCATCTCCAGGAATCAAGTCCAGCCTGCTGGTTTCCCTGAATCCCTTCATAAATGTTACCTTGCGTACACTCCAACAGCACGTCAAGTCCTAAAAACCATTTGTCTCCATTTGCTCCTGTCTAACATGCTCACGCATGCTTGGTGGAAGTCCAAGCCCTTTATACATGAAACCTCCTTTACCCCCTCCCTCCAACCTTTCCTAGGCCGACCCCTACCCCGCCTTCCCTCCACTACAGATTTATACACTCTCAAAGTCATTCTATTTTGTTCCATCCTCTCTATATGTCCAAACCATCTCAATAACTCCTCCTCAGCCCTCTGGAAAATAGCTTTGGTAATCCTACACTTCTTCCTAATCTCCAAACTGCGGATTCTCTGCATTATATTCACATCACACATTGCCCTCAGACATGGCATCTCCACTGCTGCCAGCCTTCTCCTTGTTGCAATATTCACAACCCATGCCTCACACCCAGGGTTAATAATCCAAATAATTGTGCCATCATCTACTGAATTTTTCAGTGGTGTATTCTTGATATTAATACAATGGTTTAGATGTCCAGAGATGGAGGGTGTATAAATCTGTAGTGTAGGGAAAGTGGAGTAGGGGTCATACAAGGAAAGGTTGGAGGGAGAAGGGTAGAGATGGTGTTGTATGTATTACATAAGGAGTGAGTGGAGGCAAGAGGTTTTTATGGCCTTATATGCTGTTGATTTGAGCAAGGTAACATTTACGTAGGGATTCAGGGAAACAAGTTAAATGGACTTTTAGGTGGGAACTACAGTGCCTGCATTCTGAAGGAAGGGTGGGGACACTACAATTTGGAGGGACATCTGAGCTGTAGTGTTGGACCACCTCTGGCAAGTGATGGAGTGAGTGATGTCAAGCGATTTTCTTTTAAGGAACACTCCTATTTCAGCGGAAGATGACCAGTGTTAATTTTTTTTTTTTTTTTTTTTTTTTTTTAGATTTACAGAGCATAAAGTCAAGAGTTTCTTAGCCTACGAAAGAAACTGTGTAATTTCAATACTGTTCAGCCAAAATCATGATGTGTAAGTTTGTAGTATGAGAGGGCTTACTTTAAGCCTTGAAGAAGGCCAAAATTGTAAATGTATTTTTGGGAATATTAATCCTGCTTTTACAGATAAGCAACAATTTTTCTTGGAAAGTAAAACGATGCCTGAATGGTAAACGAACATTGTACCTTTAGCATCTTTCTCAAATATTCTGCCAAGAATCCTCTGAAGCCTTGATCGTGGTTCCAGTGAGTAAACACAGTCTGCTTAGGTATTGGTCGGCCTTTCTTCTGAGCTCCTCTTAACCAATACCATTCACTTGTTTCATCGTGAACATCAATAATTTGAAGTATTCGGATAAACAAAGCAGATTCATAGTAGGGGAATATGCACATCAACAGAGCATTTTTATTCATATCACCAACCATAAATCTGTAAAAGATATAATATTAAAACCTGAAATAATTTTGTTTGTAACATTTTGGTTCATACAAATGTTAATACCAAATAAGGAGATGATCAGATAAAACACAATTATCAAACTGTACATAAAATGCAATTCAGAATCTATGCAATCTAATCTTATCACTTAGGTATGTAATTTCACATTATTTCAGTCATATCACAGCATATTAGACACTTTTTTTAACACGTCAGCCATCTCCCACTGTCTTTGCAGAGGGGCTCAGATACGACAGTTTAGATGTCCCTCCAAACAGCCAATATTCCAAACCCCTCCTTTAAAGTGCAAACACTGTACTTCCTGCCTCCAGGACTCAAGTCCAGCTAACCGGTTTCCCCAAATCCCTTCACAAAATATTACCCTGCTCACACTCCAACAGCTCATCAGTCCCAAAAACCATTCATCTCCATTGACTCCTATCTAACACGCTCATGCATGCTTGCTGGAAGTCCAAGCCCCTCACCCACAAAACCTCCTTTACCCCCTCCCTCCCTATGTTAATTGTGTTAATAGTACTATAGATGGAGAGTTCAACATATACCTGAAAAGCCAAGTGAATATCAAAATAGACAGGAATGTCATTCTTACCCACTGGAAGGTCAGCAACCATTTTCTCACAAGCACTTAAGATAATGCCATTGTCATAATATATAAACAATTCATGAGCTAACTAGACCCATCAATCTTAACTATACTGACATCAATCTGGGGTCTACACAATCCAATATGCAGCATGTGATTTATCACATGCTGCATATTACAAGTTTACACTAACATATATTAAGTTAGCAATAGAACTACGAATTAAAAAACAATAAAAATTAAATACACACACAGTACACTCATTATTTACCTCAAAATATTTGTAGTCTTAATGCAGGGCAAAAGGTGAGTAGTATTTACTGTAAGAAGTCAGGTGTGGTAGGTATGGTAGCCCTCCTGGCCACCCCACCCACACATAATATACTACGATGCTTAAAGCTCCCTAGAGTGATAAAATGCATATATATGTACAGTACACTCATTACTTACCTTAAAATATTTGTAGTCTTAATGGTCTTAATGTAGGGTGAGAGGTGAAAATTATTTATTTGCAGAAGGCATGTGTGGGAGGAAGGGTAGGGTAGCCCGCCTGGCTACCCCACCCACTATGTAAACAAATGGACAAAGCATCTGGTTATGGTTCATAAACATTCATACAAACACCTCACATTGTGTACAAGTTGTCTCCACAGTGGTACAGTAGAATAAATAAAGACCAACACTTCCATTCTCATGTAATTTTTAGAAGGAATGATGCTCTGACAAATTATTATCATTACAAATTATTATTATTACAAATAATTATTATTAATGCAAGTTATTATTACAATTTATTATTATTACAAATTATTATTATAATCATAATAAAGAAGCACTAAACCCACAAGGATCATGACTAGCTATAGATAGAGTGAAGGCATACAAAAGTAATAAATTTCTAGTTAAGTTACCGGTGTTTAACTAGAGAAAACAATTCTTCCGACCCTCCAACCAACCACTTGGTAAACAAATCTCATACAGTGGACCCTCGCATAGCGCTATTAATCCGTTCCTGAGAGCTCATTGTTATGCGAAATTATCGTTATGCGAATTAATTTTCCCCATAAGAAATAATGGAAATCAAATAAATCCGTGCAAGACACCCAAAAGTATGAAAAAAAAATTTTTTTACCACATGAAATATTAATTTTAATACACACAAACTGAAGAAGACATTCACAGTTACATGACACTTACCTTTATTGAAGATCTGGTGGTGATTGATGGGATGGGAGGAGGGGAGACTGTGGATGGTCTTAGTGTTTAGAAGGGGAATCCCCTTCCATTAGGACTTGGTGTCAAGTCCTTTTCCAGGGTTACTTTCCTTCTTCTTTTAATGCCACTAGGACCAGCTTCAGAGTCACTGGACCTCTGTCGCACAACATATCTGTCCATAGAGGCCTGTACCTCTCGTTCCTTTATGACTTTCCTAAAGTGTTTCACAACATTGTCAGTGTAATAGTCACCAGCATGACTTGCAATAGCTGTGTGAGGGCAATTTTCATCAAAAAAGGTTTGCACTTTAAGCCACATTGCACACATTTCCTTAATCTTTGAAGTAGGCAACTTCTTCAATTTCTCTATCAACTCCTCCGGAGCAGTTTCCTCAGGTGTGGCCTCTTACTGTTGAAGATGATCTAGCAGCTCATCAGTGGTTTGTTCTTCATTGTCCTCCTCCACCAACTCTTCCACATATTTATTTATTATTTTATTATCACACTGGCCGATTCCCACCAAGGCAGGGTGGCCCGAAAAAGTAAAACTTTCACCATCATTCACTCCATCACTGTCTTGCCAGAAGGGTGCTTTACACTACAGTTTTTAAACTGCAACATTAACACCCCTCCTTCAGAGTGCAGGCACTGTACTTCCCATCTCCAGGACTCAAGTCCGGCTTGCCGGTTTCCCTGAACCCCTTCATAAATGTTACTTTGCTCACACTCCAACAGCACGTCAAGTATTAAAAACCATTTGTCTCCATTCACTCCTATCAAACACGCTCACGCATGCCTGCTGGAAGTCCAAGCCCCTCTCACACAAAACCTCCTTTACCCCCTCCCTCCAACCTTTCCTAGGCCGACCCCTACCCCGCCTTCCTTCCACTACAGACTGATACACTCTTGAAGTTATTCTGTTTCGCTCCATTCTCTCCACATGTCCGAACCACCTCAACAACCCTTCCTCAGCCCTCTGGACAACAGTTTTGGTAATCCTGCACCTCCTCCTAACTTCCAAACTACGAATTCTCTGCATTACATTCACACCACACATTGCTCTCAGACATGACATCTCCACTGCCTCCAGCCTTCTCCTCGCTGCAACATTCATCACCCATGCTTCACACCCATATAAGAGCGTTGGTAAAACTATACTCTCATACATTCCCCTCTTTGCCTCCAAGGACAAAGTTCTTTGTCTCCAGAGACTCCTAAGTGCACCACTCACCCTTTTCCCCTCATCAATTCTATGATTCACCTCATCTTTCATAGACCCATCCGCTGACACGTCCACTCCCAAATATCTGAATACATTCACCTCCTCCATACTCTCCCCCTCCAATCTGATATCCAATCTTTCATCGCCTAATCTTTTTGTTATCCTCATAACCTTACTCTTTCCTGTATTCACTTTCAATTTTCTTCTTTTGCACACCCTACCAAATTCATCCACCAATCTCTGCAACTTCTCTTCAGAATCTCCCAAGAGCACAGTGTCATCAGCGAAGAGCAACTGTGACAACTCCCACTTGTGTGTGTGATTCTTTATCTTTTAACTCCACGCCTCTTGCCAAGACCCTCGCATTTACTTCTCTTACAACCCCATCTATAAAATATTAAACAACCACGGTGACATCACACATCCTTGTCTAAGGCCTACTTTTACTGGGAAATAATTTCCTTCTTTCCTACATACTCTAACTTGAGCCTCACTATCCTCGTAAAAACTCTTCACTGCTTTCAGTAACCTACCTCCTACACCATACACCTGCAACATCTGCCACATTGCCCCCCTATCCACCCTGTCATACGCCTTTTCCAAATCCATAAATGCCACAAAGACCTCTTTAGCCTTATCTAAATACTGTTCACTTATATGTTTCACTGTAAACACCTGGTCCACACACCCCCTACCTTTCCTAAAGCCTCCTTGTTCATCTGCTATCCTATTCTCCGTCTTACTCTTAATTCTTTCAATAATAACTCTACCATACACTTTGCCAGGTATACTCAACAGACTTATCCCCCTATAATTTTTGCACTCTCTTTTATCCCCTTTGCCTTTATACAAAGGAACTATGCATGCTCTCTGCCAATCCCTAGGTGCCTTACCCTCTTCCATACATTTATTAAATAATTGCACCAACCACTCCAAAACTATATCCCCACCTGCTTTTAACATTTCTATCTTTATCCCATCAATCCCGGCTGCCTTACCCCCTTTCATTTTACCTACTGCCTCACGAACTTCCCCCACACTCACAACTGGCTCTTCCTCACTCCTACAAGATGTTATTCCTCCTTGTCCTATACACGAAATCACAGCTTCCCTATCTTCATCAACATTTAACAATTCCTCAAAATATTCCCTCCATCTTCCCAATACCTCTAACTCTCCATTTAATAACTCTCCTCTCCTATTTTTAACTGACAAATCCATTTGTTCTCTAGGCTTTCTTAACTTGTTAATCTCACTCCAAAACTTTTTCTTATTTTCAACAAAATTTGTTGATAACATCTCACCCACTCTCTCATTTGCTCTCTTTTTACATTGCTTCACCACTCTCTTAACCTCTCTCTTTTTCTCCATATACTCTTCCCTCCTTGCATCACTTCTACTTTGTAAAAACTTCTCATATGCTAACTTTTTCTCCCTTACTACTCTCTTTACATCATCATTCCACCAATCGCTCCTCTTCCCTCCCGCACCCACTTTCCTGTAACCACAAACTTCTGCTGAACACTCTAACACTACATTTTTAAACCTACCCCATACCTCTTCGACCCCATTGCCTATGCTCTCATTAGCCCATCTATCCTCCAATAGCTGTTTATATCTTACCCTAACTGTCTCCTCTTTTAGTTTATAAACCTTCACCTCTCTCTTCCCTGATGCTTCTATTCTCCTTGTATCCCATCTACCTTTTACTCTCAGTGTAGCTACAACTAGAAAGTGATCTGATATATCTGTGGCCCCTCTATAAACATGTACATCCTGAAGTCTACTCAACAGTCTTTTATCTACCAATACATAATCCAACAAACTACTGTCATTTCGCCCTACATCATATCTTGTATACTTATTTATCCTCTTTTTCTTAAAATATGTATTACCTATAACTAAACCCCTTTCTATACAAAGTTCAATCAAAGGGCTCCCATTATCATTT